TAAGTCTTCCTTCCTGGGGACTGATTACAAAAGCTGCAGTTCCTGAGATCAGGGGAAGATGAAAAAAACTAGTTATAAGACAATTGCTTGACTCTTACATTCTGACTTAGAAAAGGTTCAAGGGAGAGTGTAAGGAGGAAAGGAAAAAACAAAGACACTGCCCTCCTGTTTTCTTCTCTTTTCCCAAATGAGAAAACTGGAAAACATAAATCATAGGATTTCCATTACAGGAGAAAAAATGACTAGTTCTACCCCTACATAGTAAAGAAGATCCTCCTATAGAATAAAAGCCTAATATGCTAAGTGTCCGGTCATCTGTTCAACCAATCAAAGCGTAATATGCTAATGATATGCTAAGGCTACTCAACAGCTCGCTATGACATGCACTGACCACCAGGGGGCAGACACTCAATGCAGGAGCTGCCCCCTGGTGGTCAGAGCGCTCCCACAGGGGGAGCATCACTCAGCCAGAAGCCAGGCTCATGGCTGGCGAGCACAGCGGCAGTGGTGGGAGCCTCCCCGCCTCTGCAGCAGCACTAAGGATGTCCAACTGCCAGCAGTCAGACATCCCCCAAGGGCTCCTGGACTGTGAGAGGGTGCAGGCTGGGCTGAGATGACCCTCGCCTCCCCCCAACCCCCTCACTGGCGTGCATGAATTTCGTGCACCAGACCTCTAGTACATAAATAGAAACATTGGTTACACTGGCCCAAGCCTGGTGGGTTCCATTCAGAACTATGCATGCACAGTGTACTCATGCCACAATGCCAGAGAGCAATGACTTGTCACCCCACCTTCATGTCCTACCTATATACAGCCATGTAAAACATGCACTCCTTGGTTTACACAGAACAACTGACAGCCTGAGAAAAGAGGTAAAACTCAAGTACCACAGAGAGCTCTCCACACATTTGAAGAAAACTATTCTTCCACACTAAAATAAAATCCTCTCATGAATTCTTATCTCATGTAAGTCAAGCCTTCTTACCATGGGAATCATTATAGTCTAGCACCGTAATGGCAAACCTTTTGATCTCGGCGAGTCAGCATTTTGAAAAACCCTAACTTAACTCTGGTGCCGTGTCACATATAGAAATTTTTTGATATTTGCAACCATAGTAAAACAAAGACTTATATTTTTAATATTTATTTTATATATTTAAATGCCATTTAACAAAGAAAAATCAACCAAAAAATGAGTTTGCGTGTCACCTCTGACACGCGTGTCATAGGTTCGCCATCACTGGTCTAGCATCTAATGTACCAATGACATATTGACCTCTATTTAAATCCTAAAAGAATTTGTCTCAGCAAAAAAAAATGTTTTTCCTTTCTCAGATTTTTTCTAATGCACAGAATGTTCTTCCTAACCAGAAACACTTTCTCTCCTAAATCTTCTGGATTATCTAGTTTTGAATCTTTTATTTTAAGTTATTAAGGTTTTTTACATTCCATTTAGCCTGTAACTTGATATTCCAGAAGTGTCACTTAAATCAGCCTGAAAATAAAATATCAATGGAGATAAGAAGAAAAAAAAAGTTACCCACTGAATAGAGCTACTGGAAAGTTCATCTAGTGAGAAATAATTTATAGAAAAAGGTAATTTATTATTTACTATGCAAGTTGTTTATGCCATTCACAGTGTCTTCTTCACTCGAATGAGAAAGGATAACATATACTACTAAGGAGTATCAGGTGGCTTAAGATACTTTATCACCTTTCTTGTGAGGAAACTAGAGAGCCTATAGTCATTAATCTAGTAATTCTAGTAACATACTTTTGAAGATGAGGGCAAATGTCCTGTTCATTTAAATATTTTAGCAGTTTAAGCAAAGAGGCTTCCTCTCTGAAATCAATAAAAATATATTTTTTACAAAGACAAGGTTGAATGTATATAAAGACATAAAGATATGATAGTACCTATAAATATCTACCCTTTATCGGTTATAAATGTAGGGAGGTGTAAGGATGGTAGAGATGAATAAACCCTGGTGTTTTCAATGAAGCTTAAATGTAGCCTGAAAGATGTAGGTAAAGCTGAAACTTAATGGGCAAAAGTACTCAGTTTCAAAGTTCAGATTTTAAAGTTTGATATTACAGTGTGTACCATTTTTATTTTCTTCCCCATTCATTTAGTGTATAGTAGACCATTTTCCTTCCCATTTGGAGGAGGAGAGAAAATAACACATTACAAAATCAAGCATAAAGACTGCATATCTCTTCCCTGTATTTGTCACCATTAAATCTAAAATTCACTTAATATTTCTTTTGATTGGTTAGCACAAACTCAGACTCCGAAGGCAACGTATTCCTTAAAAAGAAAAACCTGCCCTAACGAGTTTGGCTCAGTGGCTAGAGCGCCGGCCTGCGGACTGAAAGGTCCCAGGTTTGATTCCGGTCAAGGGCATGTACCTGGGTTGCGGGCACATCCCCAGTAGGAAGGAGGTGTGCAGGAGGCAGCTGATCGATGATGTTTCTCTCTCATCGATGTTTCTAACTATCTCTCTCTTCCTCTCTGTAAAAAAATCAATAAAAAATAATAAAAAAAGAAAAAGAAAAACCTGGAGCATTTGAGATCTTGCTCTGCAGCATGTTATCAATTTAGCTCCAAAAATTCTTATTAAAAGTCTACAAACAAAACAAAACCACACCTTATCTAAGCTTAAATTCAGCTTTAGGCAAAAAAAAAAAAAAAAAAAAAAATTCACTCTAAACAAGAGCCTCTTTCAGATTAGGTAGAGAGTTTATAAATAGACAAAAGACATTGTTTCAGTTATCTATTCACTGGAAAAGATGCATAACAAATAACTCTAAACTCAGTGAAGTAAAAATAGTCATTTCATTATGCTCATGGATTCTTTTTTTTTTAAGACTTTATTTTTTAGAGCAGTTTTAGGTTTACAACAAAATTGAAAGGTATAGAGAATTCCCATATACCTAGTACCCCCACACATAATTACCTTTTCCAGAATATAGTTGAAATTATACAGTATATAGCTTTTTCAGATTGGCTTCTTTCATTTCATAATATGCATTTAAAGTCCCTTTTGGTCTCTTCATAGTTTGATAGCTTGTTTCTTTTTTAGCACTGAATCATATTCTATTGTCTGAAAGGTACCACTGTTTATTAATCTATTTATCTACAGAAGGACATCTTCGTTGCTTTCAAGTTTTGGCAATTACGAATGAAGGTGCTATAAATATCTGTTGATAGCTTTTCGTGTGAACAAAAGATTTCAGTTCTTTTGGGTAAATAGTAAGGACTGCAACTGCTGGACAGCATGATAAGAATGTGTTTTATTTTATAAGAAGCCACCAAACTGTCTTCCAAAGAGGGTGTACCATTCATTTTGTATACCCACCAGCCATATATGAGATTTCCTTTTGCTCCACATCCTCACCAGCATTTGGTGTCAGTGTTTTGAATTTTGGCCATCCTAATAGATGTTTAGTTGTTTCAATTTGCATATTCTTGATGTGGAACATCTTTTCATATGCTTATTTGACATTTGTAAGTCTTCTTGGTGAGAGATCTCTTAAGGTATCTGGCCCATTCTTTTCGAGTTTTTGTCTTCTTACTATTGTTGAGTTTTAAGAATTCTTTGTATATATATTTTCTTTCTTTTTTCAATCCTCACCCGAAGATATGTTTTTTCAATTGATTTTAGAGAGAGAGGAAAGGAGAGAGAAAAAAAAATCCATGTGAGAGTAAAACATCAACAGGTAACCTCCTGTACACTCCCCGATCAGGGATTAAGTCCCAAAGCTTTTTGGTGTACAGGGTTATGTTCCAACCCACTGAGCAACTGAGCCAGGGCAAGAGTTCTTTGCATATTTTGAAAAACAGTCTTCATCAGATTTATCTTTTGCAAATATTCTCTCCCAGTTTGTATCTTGTCTTCTAACGTTCTTGAGTTCATAGATTCTTCGGTTCATGAATCAGGACAAGGCAGAACAGGAATGGCTCACAAGTCTAGGGCCTCAGCTGGGAAGACTCAAAAAGCTGAAGGGTAATTCAAATAGCTGAGAACTGGAATCTGCTTCTCCACTCACATAACTGGCACTGGGGCTGGGCAAACTGGAGGTCAGCTATGATTGTCAGAGTACCTTCAAGGGGCCTCTCTGTATGTTGTGGGCTTTTCACCGCACACCAGCCTCAGGTAGACCTCTTACATGATGGCTGAGAGTTCCAAAGGCAAGTTCCAACGGACAAGGTGAAATTTCATGGCCTTTTATGACCTAGCCTCTTAAGTCACATGTAGTGGCTCAGATCACTTTCACTATATTCTCCTGGTCAAATCAGTCAGAAGCCCACACAGATTTAAGGGAAGAGTCTATCTTTTTGTGGGTATTTTAAAACCACCACAAACATACTTATACAGAGATATGGAGATACATGCCAAAGGGTTAACCATGCCCATCTCCCAGGAACCCTCCAAGTGAATTTCACTAACTTCTCATTTTAAGTCAGACTGATAGAAACTTATCTTCTATGGAGGGCAAAATTCCATCTACCTATTTTTATGCGATACAATGACAAATCAATATAAACTTCATTTTATCTACATCAATTGCATCAGGAATGTCTAATAGCTTGCTTTTGACCCCAGTCCCATCTGCCAGTTACAACTGTTTCTTATTTTCAAAACACTATCAAGCTCAGATCCACCCTCAGGCTTAGGCTGTCATATCCAGAAAGAATAGAGACCACCTATAACAAGTAGAGCAGATCAGGATCATGTAAGCATTGTGATTGCTGAATTTAGTGGCTATACCCTACCTCAGTGATTACTAGACTTTAGGATTTCATAGGCCAAGAAAAATTTCAGAAATAATAAAACAGATATGAACAAATAAAGTTACCAACTTTTTATTATCCAAAGTAAGACATTTAGAAAATAACTACTGTATAATTTTCATCATAGAAAAGAAATGTAATGGACAATTTCAGATTAAGCACACTCCTTAAGAGTGAATAAGTTTGACTGAATAAAAAACTCACTGTATATACTTTTCTCATTTCTCTGTTGATCTGCAGAAACTTCATCATAGATGAACCCCAGTTCACAAACTGGTATGGGAACAACTTGTACGTCTGACATTCTGGCTTTCCTCTCTTGCTTTATTCTAACAGTTCTAGAACTGTAGCTTGCTCAGGAATTCATTCTAAAAAGACAGATAAATAAGTAAAAAAAATCACAACATTTGACTGGTCAGAAAAGAGTGCTATAGCCCAGCTATGGTAGCTCAGTGGTTGAGCGACCACCTAGCAACCAGGAGGTCACCGTTGATTCCTGGTCAGGGCATATGCCCAGGTTTCGGCTTGACCCCAGTGGAGGGCATGTGGGGCACACAGGAGGCAGCCAATCAATGATTCTCTCATCATTGATGTTTTTATCTCTCCTCCCTCTCGCTTCCTCCCTGAAATCAATAATATATTATTTGTTTGTTTTTTTAAGAGTGCTATAGGATATGGGGGAGGGGAATCAAGGAAGATTTCACAAATTTGGCAAAAAAAATTTACCTCTGAGAAAGAATATAGGTGGCAATGACCGTGGCTGAAAGCACAGAGACAGTCCACATGTGCAGTATATGCAAGGAAGACTATATTGTGTATCAAAAAAGTAAATAGTCGTTATACTTAGTTATAGAGTAAAGGTTACTTTTCTATTCTTTATTCTTATATTTTCTGCAATTTAACAGGGAGTATGCCTTAATGTGAAGATCAGGAAATTTTCAAAAATACAATTCCAATTTCGTAGAGGTTAGCTTAGGAAGAACAAACAAAAGGCCTATTTCTCAAACAGTTTGTATTACCATACACCAGATTGTAATATGCAGATGTTAGATCTAGAAGAGGGACGCAGGAACCAAGCAACAAATGTTGGCCAGCACGAATGACACCAGGGAAGTTAGCATTCCCTCACTGCCTGTGGGAACTACAGGAGAGCTTCTTGTTCATAAGGCCATTAGGCAGAAATTCTCAGCTGGCAGGTGCTCTCTGACCCGCCCATGTTAAACTCCCAGCTCCAACACTCACTAGCTCGGAGAGCTCAGGCAAAGTATCCAGCCGCCCGAATCTGTATTCCCACCTGTAACGCGGAAAACTGCCCACCTTTTGGAATGTTTGTGCAGATTAACTGGTAGAAAATAACGAACTTAGTACAGTGCTTGCCCCTCAGAAAATGACAGTTATATCAGGGGACGCGTTTGTGAGCAAGCAAACGGTAAATGGGCTCTTACAGGCCTTTCTAAACGAATCGAGAAAGCCCGAAGAACATAAAATGTGTCAGTTTGGAATGCCAACCTGTTGAAACTTAAGTGGGTGTGAGCTTTGAACACAGGTTCCCAATGCAGAAAGGATATTCAGTATTTGCAGGGCTCCCAAAAGCAAGCTATCTTTAGAAGGGCCTTTCTGCGTGGTCCCCAAACGCCTGAGCGGCCCAACCCCTATGTTCTAGCCACTGACGGAAAACGAGGCAGGCGTTTCCCATTCTTTTTCTCTGACTTTTGCAAGGGGCTCCCCCATCCTCTCCCACCGAGAATCCGAACTCCTTTGTGCAGAAGAAGGTTCGGGCCTAAGGGAACGACTGCCTCTTACCCAGGCTTTCTGAAAGCCGGAATACAGCCGGCGGAAGAACGGAGCAGCTGTTCCTCAAGTGATCTCAGTCAATTCTAGCAACTTCATTCCCCTTTCCCTGCTTCCAAGTCTCTGACCTTGGCACGCCTCCCTACAGCCCCGCCCCCGCAGCAAATGGCCAATCGGAGCGTGCAGAGCGAACCGGATAAGGCGGGCGCAGCTTGGCACTTTCGACCAATCACCGGCCTCAGGCCGCTGGGGCTGAAGCCATGGATTGGCCCTGGGTTCCGCTTGGGGAGGGTGGCCCCTTGGCGCAGGTGCAGCAATCGTGAGGCTGGAGAGTTTGATTCCGCCCTTCTGTTTATCGGAAGAAAAGGGCGCAGAGAGCCCTGCGAGCCCAGGAGGTAGGAAGCTTGGCCGCCCGAGGGGAAAGCGAGGGGGCCGGCAGCTACGAGGCAGAAGCAAGCTGTGTGCAGGACCCGTAGAAGCCGGTCCGGTTCGGCGCAGCCCTCCAGGCCATGGTGCTGGCGGAGCTCTGGGCGATCCCCAGGTGAGGGCTGCGGCTCCGCCCGGGGTTCCCGCCGCGGAGGCACTGGGTGGATGCGGAGCGGGGAGGAAAGAATGCAGCCCGGCCAGCTCCCCGGGAGCACCCAGAGCGGCCGCCGTTGCCGCAGCTGCAGCAGAAAGCACAGAGCAGGCCGAGGAGGCGGCTCCAGCTGCTGGTAAAGGCGCCCAACAGCAGTTTCTCTGTAGTATGCGAGTTGAGAAAACAGCCAAAGAACAGGGCTCCCCATCAAAACCTCCTTCGAGCCCTTTTTCCTTGCTACTCGGAGCTGATTTATGCGGAGACATGCCTTGCACTTGTACCTGGACGAACTGGAGACAATGGATTCGACCCTTAGTGGCGGTCATCTACCTGGTGGTCATAATGGTCGCGGTTCCCCTTTCCGTGTGGGAATTGCAGAAACTGCAGGTAAGGGGACTGCACCCTCGGCTCTGCCCTTTCTTCTACCTTCCTGCCCATCTCAGGTTGCCCATTTTTACCCTGAATGCCCCAGACTTGATATCCTGAAAACCAAATCACGTAAATGAGCCCAGTTTTAAGATATAAGCCTGTCTGTTTCCTTGTGCATAGTTTTTCAAAGCATGACACAGGTGGAGGCAGGACCTGGTCGAGAACATAGGATGTATTAAGGTAGCTGCGTAAAAGAGCACTGTTTTGTTCTGCAAGTGTTTATCAATTCCTTGAAAGTAAGGGAATTCTATTCCTTAAATCTAATCTGTTCAGATGTTGGACTTGATCATATAAACTACCTTGAAAACCATGTATTGACTTTTATTAGCATTTAATTAGCTTCCTGAATTAAAAGATTCTAGTTTAACTTTGTTGTTTGTTTTTACTTTAGAAATTAACTCTTAACCAACAAAGGTTTTGCAAAAAGTCCCTTGTATATTTTTTGATGTCATATTCTTATTATGACATCAGTAAAGTACTACAAGCTGGAAGAACCCAAGGTAAATACTTAACTAAGATATGTACTTTATAGAAATTGTATAATGAACTTTAAATTCTAAGTTAAAAATAACCAGAAAGTACTTTTCGTTAGAAACACCTATTTTACAAGACCTATGACAAGACCATGGCTGTTTGAGGGCTTTTGTTTATATGTTTGTTTGTTTTTAATTTTATTTTTCAACTACAGTTGACATTCAGTATTATATTAGTTTCAGGTGTACAGCATAGTGGTTAGATGTTTATATAACTTACAAAGTGATCATCTCAATAAGCTTGCACCCATCTGACACCGTACATAATTATTACAATATTATTGACTATATTCCATATGCTGTACCTTTTATCCCCATGACTGTTTTGTAATTGCCAATTTATACTTTTGTTGTTGTTGTTATTGTTGTTTTAATCCTCACCCGAGGATATTTTTCCATTGATTTTGAGAGAGAGAGTGGAAGGGAAGGGGAGAGACAGAGAAAGAGACACATCGATGTAAGAGAGACACATCAATTGGTTGCCTCCTGCACATTTGATCAAGGCCAGGGATCAAGCCTGCAACCCAACTTGTACTTCTTCATGCCTTCAATTTGAGGCCTTTAATTGTGGAAATGATTTTTACATAAGTAAACAAGATGTATTTAATATACATTTGTTTTCTGCATGTTCACTAAATTATTTTTTGTTTCTTTTCCCATACTGGCATAGTCCATATAGTTATTTTTAATGTTAATATCCTGTTCAACCACATTAAATATTTCCTACTTGTTGGATATTTAGGTTTTTCCATAACTTGTTTACCAAAGACATCTTAATACCAATGAGGATTTTTTACTTTGAAGTATTTGTTTGGAGTATGGTATAGGACATACTGTTATGGTTAATGATATGCATAGTAGCAACCTATTTTAAGACTTCTCAGTTGTTGGTTTCAACTAGTTTTTTAAGTGCCGCTTTTAAGGAAAATTTTAATCTGCAGTCTCCACTGCTAACACCGAGCTGAGTTCTTATCATGTTTTGCCTGGACTATTCTCAACACACCAGCAAAAGTATTGAATTAAAACATTAAAGTGTGTCCTCTTTTCAAAGTTTTCCAGTCACTCCTAGTCCCAGATTAAAAGTCAATATCCCTAACCATGATCATTAAGGCCCAACATGACCTGACACCAACCTCACTCCATTCCCCTGTAACTTTCCTCAATTCCCGAGTTTTCATGAAAGCCTTGCTCAATCATGAGGGGCATGCGCCCTCCTTAAGGCCATTGCACTAATGGGAGTTGTCAGAAAGGAGATGGTGTTTAAAGCCATAAAGATGAATGTCGCCCTAGCCAGTTTGGCTTAGTGGATAGAGCATCAGCCTGCAGACTGAAGGGTCCCAGGTTCGATTCTGGTCAAGGGCATGTACCTTGGTTGCAGGCACATCCCCAGCAGGGGGTATGCCGGAGGCAGCTGATCGATGTTTCTCTCTCATCGATGTTTCTAACTCTCTGTCTCTCTCCCTTCCTCTCTGTAAAAAATCAATAAAATATATTTTTTTAAAAAAAGAAGAAGAAGAATGTCATTATAAGGAAGAAGAAAAGGCCAAGGACCTAGCACCAAGAGTTAGAGGTCAAGTAGAAGAATGGGAACTTAACAAAAAAGGAGTAGCAGCCAGAGGGGAAGTGCATTGCCAGGAAAGGTGTGTTTCTGGTGGTGTTGAGCCATCCACTGACTTCACAAGATAGAAATTGTCATTTTATAGTGACCCTAATAATGGTTCAATGGAAATGTAATGGCTGAAACTGGAGAGAGTTGTTTGAAAAATGAATGTGGTGGGGTAAGAAGTGGAATCAAGATATGAAAACAAGTTTTTGTTCATTTTCGTTTTGAGTATTTTGACTCCCAAGGGGACCTAAGAAATGAATGGCATAGTAGATAGGAGTGTGGGATTAGGAGAGCAGGGTTGTTGTTTTTCCCTTGTTGTGTTTTGGTTTTTAAGGTTCTAAACACTTATCTATAGCATGTTCCCAATAATTGGATATAATTTTATTTAACATTCTTGATATCCTAGAAGCATAGGTATTATCTTCATTCTATAGAAATGAAAACTGAGACAAGTGGCTAACGTGACATTGTGGTAAAGTGCTCTACATGTATTAATTACCCTTATCATTCTCTTCATCATTATTCACTAAATGAGTTTGTGTATCCAAAACACTTAACACTCTGCTCAGCACACAGTAGGTGCTCAGTAAGCCCTAATTACCACAGTTGTTTTTAAAATAGCATCACTATTCTTGCATTGGAGCAGCAATTCTTTTTCTTCTGTAATAGCATCTCAGTTGGGATTAGGTTCTCAGTTGAACACCTAAGGCGAAGTTGTAGCATCTGCCTGAGCCTTAGATAAAGTAGTTGATATTTAGAGACAGTTTTGTATAAAAACGCATGTCTTTTAAACACTAGAATCACAGTGCTCACTGAAGTGGATGGGAACTGAGATTGTAGGAAACGAGGTTCCTAAAGCTGGTCACATGGCCATGGTGGGGCGCACACATTTTTTGGAACGGCAAGATGACCGTCTACACTATTTAAGCTATTTCTTTCACTCTCTTACTTGGCCAAGTATGTATAATTGAAGTCAAGTAAATTAAATGCACAAATGTCACGATCCTCTGCAGTCATTTTACTCTGCCCTCTGGTCTTCATGCCCCAAGTAGCTACCCTCTATGTTAGTGCTTCTCTCTTCCCCTCAGGAGGATTGGGGAAAATGCTCTCCTATTCCTCTGTACTCTGCTCTGAAAGCATTCCACTGAGGGACAATTATCTCACTCCTGGATGCTCATCTTTAATGGCCTTTTCTTTCCTCTCTACTTTCTTCAAATTACCTTAGTGGGGGGGAAAAAATCTCGGCTGCTTATCTCCCCCTTGTTTTGTGAGCCAGGAAACCCTACTCATGGCTGAGAAATGTAATATGTTAATGGTATCCTTATGTCAGTGTGTCTCAAGTGTGCATAATTCAGAGATAAATGTAAATTAAATTAAAATCAATGTAATAATTATATTAACTGCTACAGATACCTAGAGGTGACTTATTTTATTATGTTGCTTAAATATGCATCAAAGAATTTAAATTTCTTATACATATGGCTTTTCATATAGTTCAAAAATCAAAACAGCTGTAAAACCAGTAATTCAAATTAATGGCATTAATGTGTACAGATGAAACTCAACTACCACTGACAATGTAAAAATGGTACTAACTCCATAATGCAAGATATTTTAAATTTGGCATCACGATACTGAAATGACTCAGTTATCTAGTCACTTCTTTTCTGATCGTTTGAAAAAGAACTTTTTCCCTTTCAGCACACTTTGCCTTTATTAGTCACAGACACATCATTTTTCTCTTAAGTCTACTATCAAGTTCTACTTTTTGGCACTAAGGCAATCATAAAGACAACTGTGGGCATTAAAATTACGTGGCAATACTGTTCCTAGTGATCACCTTATAGTAGACTTTTTTATTTTTATTATTACTTTAGGTCATCACTAAAATGAATACTCACTTTTAAATGACATTTAGTCAAGCAGAAATCCCTGGAATATGATTGCTCAGACATTCCTTTCAGAACTTTCACTCCACACGTTTGCCTTTCACTGACTGCTTTGAGTAATCTCCAGCATTCGGCAAGGCTTTCATATTTGCTTTTTAAGTTCTCCATACAGTTTAATGTAGGAATTTATTGTTATAAAAATATATTTGTCAGTATTCT